AGGACACTGCTCAAATTTCAGCCCCGCTTCTAAAGTCATGCAGCTCCAGCTCCTGGGGATCAACACAGACTTCAGCCTTGCCTCTGTGTGTGGATGGCCCATGGTGCTTGTGCACTCCCAGAGCTCACAGAGGCAGAGTCGTGCCCACTGTGAACATGTGTTGATGGGGCCCTGCCCCTCCATTCTTGCATATTAACAACAGGGCTTCAGTTGCAAAATCAGGCTCCATCTGGTGTACCCCCAGTTACAGTCTAGGGCTCCCTCTAGCCCCTTCAGGCTGCCTCTGCATAGCTAACCTCAGGTCTCTCCCTGGGTCTATCCACTGATGCCCAAGTTTTAGCACCCAGCCCCCAGTGAGCACCACAGACATGCATCTCGGTCTGGAGACTGCAAGTGAGGTAGCCAGGACCATCTGTGCTGATCTCTGTTTGTTCTGCCTATCATAGCCAGCTACTGCAGTCTCCTCTGAGCCTCTGAAGCTCCCTGTTTTTCACTGCTGATCTCCCAGCCGTTGAAGGGGGTTCCAAGGGTGAAGGAACCTTTCTTCTTTTACAGATCCCTCCCAGGGGTGCAGATTCTGTCCTGATTGCTCCCCCCCACTTTGTCCTACCTTACATGATGATCTTTCCTGCAGTTTTGATCACATGAGATCTTCCACCAGTATTCAGTAGGAATCTATGGGAATTGTTCCACATGTAGATGTATTTTTAATGTATCTGTGGGAGGATATGAGCTCCACATGATTCTATTCCACCATCTTGATCTCTCTTCAGTTGTTTTTGATCAAAGAGGGATAGTTTTTCTTCTTTCACCAGTAAATGTGATGGTAAGCTCTGGGTTTCTATTCATGGTCTTTATCAGGCTGAGGAAATCTTTTTTTTCCTCTGTTGAAGCTTTTGTTTAATCAAAAGAGTGTCGGACTTCATCAGATGCCTTTTTAGTCTGTTGAGATAATTGTGTAATTTTTGTTCTTTATTCTATTGACATGGTATATTACAGTAACTGGTTTTTCTCATGGTAACCATATTCCCATTATTTAGAAAAACCTCACTTCTTCATTGTTCTATCTCTGTCTTAGCCTCATATTAGGATGTTTGATCTCATACAATGGATGGTACTAATAGTTTTATAAAATTAGTTGGCAAATATTTCCTCTTTTGTTTTTAGGAGAATGTTTGAAGAATTGGTGGGAGAATTTAAATCATTTATCTCTGTCTCTGTCTTTTCTAGTCAGTTCAGCTATTTTATTGATCTTTTCAGAGAACCAGATTTCAGTGTATTGATTTTCTATTGATATATTTTTTCCTATTCTATTAATACTTCATTAAAGTGAAGTGAAAGTCACTCAGTCATGTCTGCCTCTTTGTGACCCCATGGACTATACAGTCCAAGAAATTCTCCAGACCAGAATAGTAGAGTGGGTTGCCATTCCCTTCTCCAGGGGATCCTCCAACCCAGGGATCGAACCCAGGTCTCCCACATTGCAGGCAGATTCTTTACCAGTTGAGCCACAATGGAAGCCCAATACTTCATTAATTTCTGCTCAAATCTTTATTATTTCCTTCTTTCTGTTTGCTTCAGGTTTATGTTGTTCTTTTATTCTATGACTTAGGTGAATGGTTAGGTTAGTGATTTCATATATTCTTTTCTAATATAGCTGCTCATAGGTATAAATTTCCCTCTCTCTACTGCTTAGGTTTCATCTGAGAAGTTTTAGTGTGTTGTAGCATATATTATTCTAAAAATATTTTTTTCTTTGAACCATTTATTTAGTCAAGGGTATGTATGTATAGGGGCTTCCCTAGTGGCTCAGATGGTGAAGAATCTGCCTGCAAGGTGGGAGACCCAGGTTCAATTCCTGGGTTGGGAAGATCCCCTGGAGAAGGGAATGGCAACCGACTCTACTATTCTTTCCTGGAGAAATCCATGAACAGGGGAGCCTGGCAAGCTACAGTCCATGGGGTCACAGAATCAGACACGATTGATTGAGTGACTACCATACACACACACACACACACACACGTGTATGTATAGAACTTGTTACATTAGCCTTTTTGCTGCTTATTTATGGTTCTCTTCCTTTGTTCTTGTGGATTCATGTTACCATTTGATGTCCTTTTCTCCCTCCATTGTAGCCTTGCTCCCATCAACCTTCTCTGTGTTATTATTTTCAAATAAGCATCCCATATTACAATTATATACATATTAATTTTTACATCGCTTCTTAAATCAGTTAAGGTTGGAGAGGAATAGTGCAATTATACTGTCTTTTATAATTACCTACATTAATTACTTTTACTTATAATCTTTGTATATAGGTACATATTACTCTTTCAGCCTAAAGAACTGTATTTTTTGTAAGGGAGCTCTGCTTGCAACACATTCTCAGTTTTTGTTATCTGGAAACATGTTTATTTCACCTTCATTTTTGAAAGATAATTTTGATGAACATAAGAGTCTTGGTTAACAGGGTTTCTTTTCCCAGTAAACTAAGTATGTCATTCCTTTGCATTTTGACTTATTGTTTCTGAAGAGAGTCTCAGCTGTTAACCTTATTGGGGCTCCCTTATATACAAAGAGTCATTTTTCTCTTGCTCCTTTCTAGATTTTTTTTTTCTTTTAGCATTTTTACCTTGATGTGTCTGGGAGTAGATTGATTTTTTTAATCCTACATGGAGTTTTTTGAGATTCTTAGATGTGTAATGTCTTTCAAATAATTTAGAAAAAAATTTCAGCCAATATTTCTGTGAATGTTTTCTCCTTTCTCTCCTCTCCTTCTAATAGTCCCATAATGCATATGTTGGTGTGATTAATAGTATCCTACCTTTTTTTGAGATTTTTTACTTCTCTTCAGTTTTTTTCTCCCTGTTTTTCCTAAACATTCGTAATTATCTTCTTGTTTTCCATCATCAGTATCTTACATCCTCAAAATTTCTTTATTAAATAAACCCATATTAATATTTCAGAGACCTTGCTTTACACATATTATTTCTCAACTTGGAAGCTTCCAGTGGCTCTCCCTTGTCTACACAGCAAGTCAGTCTCATAGATTGCCATTATATGGCTCTTTTGTACCTCATCAGCATTCTTTCCTCTCTTCTTCTACATTAATCTTTTAATCTACCCAGTTTGGCTTATGCATTATTCTCTAATCATACTCTTTCATCATACATCATCATATTCTCTTAACATTCTGCCTTCATGTCATTTCTTATGCTCTTCCAGCCAACTTCTGTCTAATAGCTAAGTTCTTAGTCTAATAACTAGGAAGTCTTCTGTAAAATTCTACAAAGTCTTCTGTTATAAAAGGAAACCACAGTTTTATTCTCCACTCCTAAAGTACTTCATGTCTATCAATCATTTATGGTACTTCATATCGTTATTTTCAAGATTTTTTTGTTTAGTAAATTTTAAACTTCTTAGTAGGTATTTCTTTGTACCCTCCCACTTACTACAATACTGTGAAAATAAGGAATAACAATAAATATAGTTATTGACAATGTTGTTTTATACAATATGACATTTAAGCATATTTCAGTTATTAACAGGCAATAAATATAATCAAAGCAGAAAGCATTCACCTTCTAATAAATCAGAGTTGGACATTGAAGTAAAACATTAGTTAAACAATGATTCTTTTCTACTAAAATCAGTGCATGGTACTGATGTTTGCTGATTGAAAAATAGTAATTGGTTCCATATATATACATACACACAACTGCAAATACGCTGTTTGGTCAACTAACGATTTGGCAATTACTAGAGAAGCACTGGGTAGAAAAAATATCAACTGAGAAGAATGGGCTTCTTTGCTAAGTCTGTTACTTCCTTTAATTCTCTAATTCCTTTTATTATCAAAACTTAGTAATCCCTGACTAGCTGTATGACCACTGTACAGAATGAGTCCCTGAGCCAAAGCTGTCCCTTTGTAATGATCTATATTTAGTGTTAACAGTTCTTTTTCATATATAATATAGATACTTTTAATCCTGTTTTACAATATAAATGATAGTGGTCAATATTTATTATTGGGTTGCTCCTTCAGTTGACATAGGGTAAAAGAAAAAGAAGGAAATTTCAAAAAAGCATGCCATGGAGCAGATAAGGTATACTGTATGCTGATAGCCATTAAACAAATTGGATAAAACTGTCCTGACTTCTGAGTTGGATTTGTCTGCCATTATGAAACTGTGATGAAATTTTAACTTATATGCATGTAAACATCTCTCTACATGATGATTTTCTTTGTCTACAAATAGCTCTAGCAATGTAAGAATATTTATTAAAATAAAAGGTGTCATCTTAAACAGATTAATAAGAAAAATTATAAAGATAAAGCTTACTTCTGCCTATGACATACTTATTTCCATTTTCAACTCTTCTTGATGTTTTATTCAAACTCTTTTGGAATCTGAACTTAATCTTTCCCTTATAAGAAACTATTATTTTTGTTTTATGTAAATAGAGATCATCATTAAAATTTTAAAAAATCTTGAAATATAACACCTGTGTTCACTGTTAATGGACTTTCTTTTAAATGAATTTGATGAAAATGCAATGATTTTCATAGTGTATCATAAGTTTTAAGTGACAAGTCTTTCTGCATATGAAAGGGTTTTCTTGTTTCATAGGTGAAATTTTTAAAGCCTAGTATGGATTTTCATAATACATTTCATTATGCAGATAAGTATATATGTGTGTGTCTTCAATCCTGCAGTTGTTTATCATGAAACTTATGTAATTAAAATAACTTTATATGATGCTAAATTTATACATGAAGAATGTGAAGCAATAAAAATATGTTTACAAATAACTTTATTGATTATATAATAGTCAATTGTTAGGGCTCAGTAAACCATTTATAAATTTAACAAGAATGTTAGAATGCATAGAAATGTGTCTATCTGATTATGAAAAATACACAATTATTTTGAAAAAATATTCCTTTAAAAATTCTTAGGATTTAATTCATATTTAATAAAATTCCTTTCTTTCTTTAGGAAAAAGTCAAAGAGAAGGAAGAAAACCTGAATCTTGCAAACCAATTCTTAAAGTAGAATACAAGACTTGTAGAAACAGGTATGCATTTTTACTTGGGGGGTTATGGAAAAAAAATGTAAGAAAGAGCAACAAGAAATACAGATATCCTTTAATGTTTGTATATTGTTAAGTTTTACATAATTATATTAACATTAACAACAGTGTTCCTTGATAACAGATTTATTATTCAATGGGTATGTATATGATGTCAATATTATTATAATAGTAACTCTTAATTATTTAAAGATTTTTATTAATATACAGATGAGTATTATATACATTAATTTTAACAATGAAGGGCTTTTTGGCCATGCAATTGCAAGTAGCAATCATTTAGCATTATTAAACAGCAAAAGCTATTTACTTACTAGTATTACATATAAATTAAATATATAACTAAGTCTCTGTACTTTAAGATCTTACTTTTTGAATTTGAAAAGATTAAAGTTAGTTGGAAATATAAACATTTATGTATATTGGTGTAATCCAATAGTACTAAATTTTAAGATATATAAAATTAAAAATAATATTTAATAAAATTTATCTTGTATGAATAGCAGCCATATCCTATACATCAGCAATGTTCTTTTTACCTAAAGTATCTATTAGTGGCAATATTCCCATCCAGAATTACCATAATTACAAATCTTGTTGTGTAGACCTTAGTTTTAAGTCTAAATTGGATAATTCTACTTTATATTACTTAAATGCCCATACTACAATATTTTCCTGTCATCATAGGTACATATAATATTTGCTTGTAGCTGCTCTTCTCAAAGTATGATAGATAGATGGATCAAAACCTCTTTAGCCTAGCCTAAGATCTTCATGACCCAGATAATCACAATGGTGTGATCACTCACCTAGAGCCAGACATCCTGGAATGTGAAGTAGGTGGGCCTTAGAAAACATCACTATGAACAAAGCTAGTGGATGTGATTGAATTCCAGTTGAGCTATTTCACATACTAAATGATAATGCTGTGAAAGTGCTGCACTCAATATGCCAGCAAATTTGGAAAACTCAGCAGTGGTCACAGGACTGGAAAAGATCAGTTTTCATTCCAATCCCTAAGAAAGGCAATCCCAAAGAAAGCTCAAACTACCGCACAATTGCACTCATCTCACACGCTAGTAAAGTAATGCTCAAAATTCTCCAAGCCAGGCTTCAGCAATGCGTGAACCGTGAACTTCCAGATGTTCAAGCTGTTTTTAGAAAAGGCAGAGGAATGAGAGATCAAATTGCCAATATCTGCTGGATCATCGAAAAAGCAAGAGAGTTCCAGCAAAACATCTGTATTTGCTTTATTGACTATGCCAAAGCTTTCGACTGTGTGGATCACAATAAACTGTGGAAAATTCTGAAGGAGATGGGAATACCAGACCACCTGACCTTCCTCTTGAGAAACCTGTATGCAGGTCAGGAAGCAACAGTTAGAACTGGACATGGAACAACAGACTGGTTCCAAATAGGAAAAGGAGTACATCAAGGCTGTATATTGTCACCCTACTTATTTAACTTATATGCAGAGTACATCATGAGAAACGCTGGGCTGGAAGAAGCACAAGCCAGAATCAAGATTGCCGGGAGAAATATCAATAACCTCAGATATGCAGATGACACCACCCTTATGGCAGAAAGTGAAGAAGAACTGAAGAGCCTCTTGATGAAAGTGATAGAGGAGAGTGAAAAAGTTGGCTTAAAGCTCAAAATTCAGAAAACTAAGATCTTGGCATCTGGTCCCATCACTTCATGGAAAATAGACGGGGAAACAGTGGAAACAGTGTCAGACTTTATTTTGGGGGGCTCCAGAATCACTGCAGATGGTGATTGCAGCCATGAAATTAAAAGACACTTGCTCCTTGGAAGGAAAGTTAAGACCAACCTAGATAGCATATTAAAAAGCAGAGACATTACTTTGCCAACAAAGTCCGTCTGGTCAAGGCTATGGTTTTTCCGGTGGTCATGTATGGATGTGAGAGGTGGTCTGTAGGAAAGCTGAGCACTGAAAAATTGATGCTTTTGAACTGTGGTGTTGGAGAAGACTCTTGCGAGTCCCTTGGACTGCAAGGAGATCCAACCAGTCCATCCTAAAGGAGATCAGTCCTGGTTGTTCATTGGAAAGACTAATGCTGAAGCTGAAACTCCCAATACTTTGGCCACCTCATGTGAAGAACTGACTCATTGGAAAAGACCCTGATGCTGAGAAGAATTGGGGGCAGGAGGAGAAGGGGACGACAGAAGATGAGATGGCATCACCGACTCGATGGGCATGAATTTGAGTAAACTCCGGGAGTTGGTGATGGACAGGGAGGCCTGGCGTGTTGCGATTCATGGGGTCACAAAGCGTCAGACACGACTGAGCGACTGAACTGGACTGAATGTTACTATGCATAACTAGTAAAAATAACCACAGTTTTATTACTATTGTAACTAAAGCATTAAAACATTTAAAATTTAATCCTTATGGATGAAAATATTTTACATATTCTTTCCTTCTTAAAACAGTGTTTATAACCTTAACTTTGCTTGAGTCTTCAGGCTCAATATTATCAATATTAGATCCGTTGTTACAGTGTTGCACTTCAAGGGTACCTAACCTTGCCTAAAGGGAGTATGGAGGAGAGTACAGTGAAGGAAGAATCACTGAAATTCTTCTTAGGAAAGGAGATGCTTGAGATGGGATTTTAAGGGATGGAGGATAGGATAGTTCCAGATGAATGGAGAAAAGGATAAACATAAAGAAAAGGTAATTCAGAAATCAGGAATTCAAGGCAAGACAGTTTAATGATTAAGATCATTGGAATGAAACAACCGTGTGACCTTGAAAATTAACTTTTTAAAAATTTAATTTTCTCATCAACAGTACCTATTTCGTTATGATGTTTGTAACATCATAAATTTGATGAGAGGCCCACAGTGTTTTTCTTAAAAAGCAGTTGTTACCATCATAAAGCCATGTTATTTCACACTGTTAATATTTTTCTATGATTCTAAATTGATTTGTTCTAGTTATTGGTAGTTGAAGTTTGTGTAGAAATAATTCAGATTTCTAACATGAAATAATTATGATTAGTAATACATAATTACTATCAGACCACTTACTGTGCACTGTAGAATGCTGTGTCAATTTGTTGTGATTTACAACTATATTAGAAGCAGTGGATCCACAGCTCAGAACACAAAGAGACTACAAAAACAGAGGAGCACTGAAGTTGAGTCCACAGCAAAGTGGACTCTAGTCTGGAAGTGGAAATAAATCTGTTTCTGCTCCTTCTCGTACATAGCAGATACTTTGTGAAGTAAAGAAAATGGGACAGCTTTAGCAGGAGCAGGAACTTTATAAGAACCTTACCTTTGTGTGCAGGGCTTCCCTGGTGGCTCAGACAGTAAAGCGTCTGACTGCAATGTGGGAGACCTGGGGTTCGATCCGTGGGTCAGGAAGATCCCCTGGAGAAGGAAATGGCAACCCACTCCAGTACTCTTGCCTGGAAAATCCCATGCGTGGAGGAGCCTAGTAGGCTCCATGGGGTCTCAAAGAGTCAGACATGACTGAGCAACTTCACATTCCTTTACCATGTATGTTGCAGCAGCTGGGCCCCTTAAAGGTCTGCACAGGTAACAGGTGTAAAGCGTATTTTTCTGTTTAATGTTATCTTGGGCCAGCCATTCACAAACCTGCTCAGGAATCACTTGTCCCTCATCACCAATTTGCTTGCTGCAACTCCAGTCACAATGGTCTCAGGCTTAATAACTTTATCCTTTTAAAAAAAAGGAAATAATGATCTCTTTACCTGCTATCACTAGCATTATCAGGTTCTCTATCCTTAATAAAAATTACTCTCTGCTAGTTTTTCAATCCCTTCCTATTGTAGCCACCTACAGATAGACTTCATGTGTGGTTAAATTCTCCAAGCTTTAGTATACCCATCTATTAAATGGGGATAATAGTAGTAGTTCTCTGATTGGTAAATCTTAAGGATTAAATACAATAATGCATGTGACGTTCTTCATAAAATACCTGGAACATCATAAATACTCAACAGATGTTACACGTTTGTTATATTACACAATTTATCATTTAATCCTTTTGCCTTCATTGAGACAAAATCTCAATGCTTTTTTATTGTATTATCTATTTTATAAATTATACAATAGCCTTTTTTCTCTTGGTATACAGTTCTATAGATTTTTTTTTAAAGCAAACGTATATATTCTTGAAATTGCAACCACAATAAGAATACAGAAAATTTCCATATGCACCAAATTATCTTTGCAGTCCCTTAATAATTACACCTTTCCCCATTCCTAACCTCTGGAAACCAGGGATCTGTACTTTGTCACTATAGTTTTGACTTTTTGAGCTGTCATGTAAGTGTAGTTACATATTATGTAACTTTTGATCTTAGCTTCTTTTCCTCAACATAATGATACAAAGACTCAAGGAAAGTAAATTTTCCCATATTTAGTTTACAACTCAATTATTTGTGTGAAAATACTGACAAAACTTTATTTTTTTTTCCATCTATTTTTATTAGTTGGAGGCTAATTACTTTACAACATTGCAGTGGTTTTTGTCATACATTGAAATGAATTAGCCATGGATTTACATGTATTCCCCATCCCAGTCCCCCCTCCCACCTCCTTCTCCACCCGATCCCTCTGGGTCTTCCCAGTGCACCAGGCCCGAGCACTTGTCTCATGCATCCAACCTGGGCTGGTGATCTGTTTCACCCTAGATATACATGTTTCAATGCTGTTCTCTTGAAACATCCCACCCTCGCCTTCTCCCACAGAGTCCACAAGTCTGTTCTATACATCGGAGTCTCTTTTTCTTTTTTGCATATAGGGTTATCGTTACCATCTTTCTAAATTCCATATATATGTGTTAGTATACTGTAATGGTCTTTATCTTTCTGGCTTACTTCGCTCTGTATAATGGGCTCCAGTTTCATCCATCTCATTAGAACTGATTCAAATGAATTCTTTTTAATGGCTGAGTAATATTCCATGGTGTATATGTACCACAGTTTCCTCATCCATTCGTCTGCTGATGGGCATCTAGGTTGCTTTCATGTCCTGGCTATGATAAACAGTGCTGCGATGAACATTGGGGTACACGTGTCTCTTTCAGATCTGGTTTCCTCAGTGTGTATGCCTGGAAGTGGGATTGCTGGGTCATATGGCAGTTCTATTTCCAGCTTTTTAAGGAATCTCCACACTGTTTTCCATAGTGGCTGTACTAGTTTGCATTCCCACCAACAGTGTAAGAGGGTTCCCTTTTCTCCACACCCTCTCCAGCATTTATTGCTTGTAGACTTTTGGATAGCAGCCATCCTGACTGGCGTGTAATGGTACCTCATTGTGGTTTTGATTTGCATTTCTCTAATAATGAGTGATGTTGAGCATCTTTTCATGTGTTTTTTTGCCATCCGTATGTCTTCCTTGGAGAAATGTCTGTTTAGTTCTTTGGCCCATTTTCTGATTGGGTCATTTATTTTTCTGGAATTGAGCTGCAGGAGTTGCTTGTATATTTTTGAGATTAATCCTTTGTCTGTTGCTTCATTTGCTATTATTTTCTCCCAATCTGAGGGCTGTCTTTTCACCTTGCTTATAGTTTCCTTTGTTGTGCAAAAGCTTTTAAGTTTCATTAGGTCCCATTTGTTTATTTTTGCTTTTGTTTCTAAAATTCTGGGATGTGGGTCATAGAGGATCCTGCTGTGATTTATGTCGGAGAGTGTTTTGCCTATGTTCTCCTCTAGGAGTTTTATAGTTTCTGGTCTTACATTTAGATCTTTAATCCATTTTGAGTTTATTTTTGTGTATGGTGTCAGAAAGTGTTCTAGTTTCATTCTTTTACAGGTGGTTGACCAGTTTTCCCAGCACCACTTGGTAAAGAGGTTGTCTTTTTTCCATTGTATATCCTTGCCTCCTTTGTCGAAGATAAGGTGACCATAGGTTCGTGGATTTATCTCTGGGCTTTCTATTCTGTTCCATTGATCTATATTTCTGTCTTTGTGCCAGTACCATACTGTCTTGATGACTGTGGCTTTGTAGTATAGTCTGAAGTCAGGCAGGTTGATTCCTCCAGTTCCATTCTTCTTTCTCAAGATTACTTTGGCTATTCGAGGTTTTTGGTATTTCCATACAAATTGTGAAATTATTTGTTCTAGTTCTGTGAAAAATACTGTTGGTAGTTTGATAGGGATTGCATTGAATCTATAGATTGCTTTGGGTAGTATAGCCATTTTGACAATATTGATTCTTCCAATCCATGAACACGGTATATTTCTCCATCTGTTTGTGTCCTCTTTGATTCTGACAAAACTTTAAATAATAATTAGCAAAGGCATTTTATATGTAAGTTTTGATGAAAACTTTTTTTAAAACTTTGTTATTATATAGCCCACATAAGATTAGCAAATGTCCCTTTGATAATGTTTGGTACTACACACAATACAATATGGAAAAGAACAGGGGTTCTTATAGAGTGGGTTCTAGAAACAAGTAGATTCTTCAGTTTAGCAGATGGATAGAAGTGAATTATTTAATGAAGCATATATTCTCAAGGAATTTGGTACAATAAAAGTATCTAGTTCCTTTAAAAAATTTTTGGAGAATATTTTCAGTCTGGTTTTTACTTATTGAAAAATGTTTCATAGCAACACACATTTTCTTTTGTATACATATGCTGGAGATACAGATATTTGAGAAAAGAAAAATGGAAAGTTATGAACATGTTTAATAACTTTCTGACAGCTGTAATATTTTATGATCATCTTAGACCCCCTCTATTATCTAACTGTAACTTGCAGTTAACAGAAATGAAAGTTTGTTCCAAGTTAGTTTTACAAGCTAAATAAAATTGACTTACCCTAGGTAAAGTTGAGAAGATCACATTTATTTTTGGTGAATTGTTTTCCCCTTACATGTAGTTTTCTCCATCTTTTTGTCATAACCGTTTTATATAGAAACACCATTATGTAGACTTTTCATGCTACCTTCCACTATTCTGGGCTTGCCATTGTCACATTTCATTTTATATTGAAATTTGCTTCTATTTCTTAGTGATTTGGGACCTCACATGCCTACTGGTTAATATGATAAACTAATATTGTCTGACATTCTAATAGTAGTAATTTAGAGTTTGAGAACCAACCATATGTGATGTTCTTTTGAGTCAGTCAGCATCTTTCCCCTGACCAACCTCACTGCCTTTTCCCCATCTCACCTCAACATCTTCAGGCTGATTCATTAGTAATTTTAACAGTGAGAATGTACATCAAGTAAAAGGGAAATAGAATAGTAAATTTGTCGGGTGAGATATTTGGGAATAGAAAAGGATTTTGCTCTGACAATTATTGTACATAATCCCTACCAAGTCCATTCTTTTTTGCCTCAATCCTGTGATGTTGTGTCATCCTAAGGAACTCTCTTTTTTTTTCCTTTGTAGTGAACCATTCATAATATTTTCTGGTGGATTGTCCTATGACAAAGCTTGCAGAAGACCAAGTTTAACTATCATGCATGGAAAAGCAATTACAGTGCTTGAAATGGATCATCCTATTGTTGAATTTCTAACTTTATGTGAAACACCCTATCCAAATGGTAAGTAACTAAAATGAAGCAATGTTGAAAAACAATTTTTGAAATGATAAGTTCCTAACAAAATTAAGCTTAAATATTTTTAGTTTTGGCAGCTGACATCTACTGTGATACAACACTGTGAGCTACAGGTGCTGGAGCAGGCTCTGCAACTGTACCTACTTGACAGACTGGAAGTAAGACAAATGTAGTGCAACAGTGCTGGAGTTTCAGGTTCTAATATCAGGTAAGTGCTTTAAACTTTGATAAGGATGGTGGAAGCTGAGCTGGGAGGGTCCGATCGGGGTCCGGGGTGAAATCACTTGGAGAAACTGAGGTCTCCTAATAGCCTCTCCTAGACCAGCTCCACCCATCCCATTCCTGTGCCAATCAAAGTTAAAGCACTTACCTGATATCAGTGATCTGTAACTCTGGCGGTGCTGCATCTGTTTCACATCTGACTTTGCTTCAGATGCAACTGCAGCACCTGTGATTACTCTGGGATTGCTGATGTGTGGTTAGTGATTTATTCAAATTTTGAGAAAAATTAGAAGAGTCTTTGAGAGGAGAGGTGCTTAGGTATTTTTATCATCCCAAATATAAAGACTTTTTATAAACATAAAATCTAGTCTAAACTTACATGCAAACTGTATAATGGAATCTAATGATGAAATATATCTTAATGAAATCTAAAAATTGAGATGGATGAAATGCAGAAGGGGAAATATGAGTTTATGATTAAAAAACATAATATGTATATGTATATTCATACACATATATTACTATATTTTCAGGAGGGAAAATATAGATGTAGAGAAAACAACATTGTACTTGGAGACAGAATATTTGAGTTTATGAGTTAGCTCTGTCACTTACTAGCCATGTGACCTTGGACAAATCACTTCATATTTATCATTTGTAGAAAAAATATAATATTGACCGCACATGATTATTAGAAGGCCAGAGGAACTCATCTTGTAATCTGTAAAGATAAATACTTTTATTATAAATGTATTAATTTGTTTTAAATTACTGAGTTTCATGTTTAAAACCTAGAATAAAGTGATATGAAATAAAAACCAACATGGCACTTTATTCCGAGTTGCCAGTGGCAGACAAATTACCTGTGCTGTTAATTAACCACAAATATTTATTGGATGCTTCTATGGCCTCAGTATAACAAGAACTTGGTGAGAAATGGATAAAGTATGAAACCGACCTCTGATGTCAAATTGCAGAAAATCTGGCCACAAAAGGAAGATAATTATGACTTAAAACATATTATGCCTTAATTAAGTGCAGAGTTATGAGTCAGAGTTTAAATAATGTGCTAATTTATAGTTTAGTCAAGTAGTTGATGACTGAAATATTGCATGAAATATTCATACAAAACTTATAGAAAATGTAGGATCTAGATAGGACTTGAAGAATGACTTGGGCCTTGAAAATAATATTGAGTAAAGGTTTTAGAAATTGTGCATTTGCTAGCATGGGATCAATTCAGAGAAGAGATTGAAAGCCTTTTGTAGATATTTGCAACTACAGAGGAATTTGGAGGAAATATTAAATGAAAGAAAGCAATGTTTTAGTGTGTGGGTTTGAAGAGAGGGACTGAAATCTAAAACTTTGGATTCCAACTGGGAGGCTTTGTGATAGTATACATTAAAATGATCAAGCTATGACATCTTGATCTGCTGCTTATAGGAGTAGAAAATGAAAACCCATTGAATTTGGTCAACAGTTAGATTAGGGAGTAATATGAGTCAAAGATAACATTTTAGGAATAGTGGTTTTATAAGCAGTAACAACAGTTCTTGGGAGTAGAGAAGATAAATTTAAGTCAGTACAGTTGTTTAGAGCATAAAAGAGAGAGGGAGGATGTCTTTACTGTTTATTTTGAATCATCATAATATATATGCTGTTTGGCGTTATGATAATGAATGATTAATGAACAAAGAAAGAAAGAACAGAGGACCAAAAACTTAGGTTAGGAAAATGCCTTCTTCAAGAAAGAAGGTATGCATGCCAGCAATAGAAACTGAAAATGTGTGGTTTCAAAGATCAAACACTATATGTATATATACATTTCTGCATATCAGTAGAGATGTTAGGACAATTTTTAGTAATGTTAAACAAATTATAAATGAAGTCTAATTACTGCCAAACCATGTATATTACTTTGCTTTTCAGAGAAATGGTAATAAGGATGGAACTTTTTATTTATTAGGACCTAGGAGAAATTTCACTTGACTCAGTAAAATATAAGTGTATTTTGTTAACTATTCTGATTAAAGCAATAGTACATGAAAATGCCAGAAAAGAACTCTGCAGAATGCCACAGTATATAATGAAAACTTTCTCATTGCCCTTTCAGAGGCAACCACCATTACTATTTCTTATGTATTCTCCCACAAATAATGTATGCATATGTATGCTTATTTATGTATATATCTCTTTTGTAAGATAACAGTATACTCTGTTCTCACACTCTTTTCACTTAACAGTATATAGTGTTTTAGTTATGATTCCATATTAGCAAATATAGAACTTTAATCTTCTGTATAGACACATAGTGATAAATGTTATGCATATATTAAACAAAATACATTTATTAAGTTTTTAATATTGCTGAATCATTTGTGACATCTGACAATTCAACCTATTTCTCAAAATACAGAAATGCCTAATCCTCTTACCTCATAGGGCTTTGCCCAGAGTTGTTAACCAATAATACTCAGAATTTGTCAGTTTTTACATCTATATTTAATTGTATCTGGTCTTCTGCAAATGTCATAAATAATACATTTCTCTTCAGAGAAGTAGTAATTATGATAAAACTTTTCAATTTTCTTGTTGGGGGCTAGGGTTAAAAGGCTGAGCCTATTCAAAAGCAACCAATCTAATGAAGAAAGTAATACAGTTGGCATCTAGTGAGTACCTACTATGAGCTAGGCTTTGCATTAAACATCTTTGAAAGTGAAAGTGTTAGTCTCTCAGTGGTGTCTGACTCTTTGCAACCCCATGGCTGTAGCCACTATGCTTCTCTGTCCGTGGAGTTCTCCAGGCAAGAATACTAGAGTGGGTTGCCATTTCCTTCTCCAGTGGATCTTCCTGACCCAGGGACCGAATCTGGGTCTCCCGTATTGCAGGCAGATTCTTTACCATCTGAGCCACCACGGAAGCTCATTAAATATTAAAGATGTATATTAAATATCTTTATATACATCTAATCTTCATAACAGCCTAAGATAGTTATTATCTTGCCATTTCAATGTATAAAGAAATTGAAAATCAAAAAAGTTAACTAATTTGTCTATGGTCAAATTGTTAATAAATAGACACAAATTGAAGCTAATACTGACTCAAAGGAAATCTTTTTATTCAGTGGTTACCACACATAGTACTCCAAGTACTTCTACAAAGGTGAAATTTTTGCTACCAGTTTTTATTATTTGAAAAGAAACCATAATCTACAACAGATGTACTACTATAAAAATAATAATTTATTTACAACTTTTACTCATTCATACCAGTGTCTCACCTATTTTATTTTTGTAGCCATTGCTCCCCAACCAGTGAGTTTCCTAGAGAGGGTTGAGAAGACAAAGAGGAAACTAGTAGTAGTCTTTAAGCTGCTAAACAAAACCCCAAGCCCCAAAAGTATTGAAATAATGGATGTTGAAAACTTAAAAAAACTCTAAAGGTGAAGGAGGAAATGCCTCAGTTTGAAAAAAGTTTGAGTAGTAAATAATATAAGAACTGTATACTGTTGTATAAATTTTCACCCAAACAAAGGCAGACTCCTCAGTTTTTGGGGTTTTGCGGATTTTTTCTTCTAGTTTTTCTCTCATAGCCTGTAGCTTAAAAAATAAATACAAACAGGTTCTATAGCTTCTCAGGACTGGAAGGGCTATGAAGATCATATATTTTACTTTACTAGTCTAGACTTGAGTACTCTTGAATCCAGAATTCTTGCCAAGTGCTTGTTGAGTTTAGGAATAACTCTTAAATTAGCCAAAGAGGGAAAGGGAGGGTTGAATTTTAAGAACTTGAAGATCCTAGGCTATCCTCAGATTGTTTTTTTGAAATATACTTGGGCACATAGTATGTGGTCTTTAAGCACCTGTTAAATCACACTGAATTGAAAGTAATATTTTTAGTATAACGAGTGTTGCTCTCATAGGGAGGTGAATATGTATCATATGTTAAAGAAGCAGAACTATTTCTTTAGCATATCTCTCTGTAGGCATGAAATCAGATCTAGAATGGAAGGTTGTGGAAGACTAAGATAAATGTGAAATGGAGGTGACAGACTCACTCTCTTCAGATAATCTACTACATTCATGATTACTGAGATACATTTAACTTTATGCTCTGTGGCTTCTCATTTTTTCCTTGCTCTCTATAATGGTCTTAAACATTGTTTGAGAAACACAACATATATTTTTTAAATATGCTCCTTATTACTTCTTACTTTTGCTTATATCTTGGTCTTCTCAAATCATTTAAATAACATTTTTACAGGAGATAAAGGAAATACAAGTTTGGTGATTTTATAAACATTTTATAAAATGTTAAACATGAAAACTTTTCCATTTTTTCCTACTTGTAGAATTTCAAGAACCTTATGCTGTTGCAGTACTCCTGGAGAAAGATCTCATTGTAGTTGATCTGACACAAAGCAAGTAAGTTGTCCATGTATAGATTAACACTAACTATTTTTAAACTCTATTTATTGCAACCAAAATATAGGAGGACATTATAGGTAATTTGGCATTAGAATTCTTTAGGTGGTAAATATTCTTTATGTGGCATACTGTTTTCTTAGAATTACATAAATATAATTTGGTTCAATAATGAAAGCTAAACCAGGAGAGTTTAGGGGACACTGAAAATTTTACAAGATATTTTCAAGGCAGCCCCTAATGTTTAGAAAGAGGCATTTGGAGACTCAGGACACATAAAATGGATCTCATTTCTGTCATTTCCCTAAGCAAAAACAGTTGTTACAAAATCTTGCAGGAGGTACTGTCTGGCTATCTACTGACCCTTTAAAAGGAAAATTCATGTGATAAAAGTATTATTGGACTACTGTGGCAGACAATATAGACGATCAGGATCTGGAAGGAAGAGAAGATAGATACCTTCTTATACTTTTTTTTTTTCATTATGTTGTGGGCAGTGGAAACAAATATAAAATTCATATTAGAGTGGTACTCCCCACTACTTTACATGGACAGTAAAAGTAGACTTGACTTTGATAAACCCTGTCTTCCTGCTACATATTTTCATTGTCAGTGATGATAGGCATGAAGCTTATTTTCTCTCAAACTATGTTCTAGATACTCTGATCATTTTTTAGTCCCTTATATTTGCAGAGCTTTTATACATCCTCTCTCTTCTGCATGGAAAATTTTCTATTCCTTTTTCTCCTTATTAACATCTGTAAGAATCTCAACTCAGATATCATCTCCTCATTTAAAGAAAATCTTTCATTATCTATATAATTTGGTCAAATATCCTATTAAGGCTGTCTTAGATCCATGTTCCTGTCCTTCATAGCTTTGACAAAATGAAATTTTTCACTTGTTATTATTTTTAAGATTGTCTCCCTACTAGACTATAGGCCTCATGAAGAATAAGCTTTGTCTCCACATGAAGTAGGTTCTTAATAAATTGTTGTTGAATGAAGTACAATCTGAGTTTTACTTTCAATGTAGTTTGTAAGTATAAGAGCCAAAGTTGTTCTTTGTGATCATTTGCATCATATAATATTTCAATATTTTGAAAGGGAATAGAATTGGTCCATAATATCACCATAATTGAATTCTGCCTAGCTACTTTATTTGTCAACATAAAACTGAGTAAATTTTGTGTTCAAGTGTGGATTTATGCCTCTTAAGTTCTAATATAGGTTTTATTAAAATACAGTTTTCTAATCTCACTTGTAGTCAACTCTTCCTTCTATGCCATATTTATTGGTTCTTCATACCTTGTCTAATTGTCTAACATCCTCCAAGGTCCACTATACTTTCCTTTTAATATTCACATTCTTTAGTATATATTTACTCTTTTAAAAAATTTTTGTGGTAAAATAATAACATAAAATTACTAGTTTTATACATTAATTATGCTTTCAGCATACTTACCTTATGTAAGTATGTGAACTGACATTTTGTTTGCATGTTTTTATCTAATATTTTGCCTTCTTCAGCACTCAGTTTTGTTTTAAAATCTATGCGACTTTCCCATTTTGTTGTCTAATGCAAGAAGTTTAATGTGTCAAAAACTGAACATGTTCTTTCCCTCCAAATAGTTACCCTTTAGCCATGTTTAATGTTAAGTTCTAGCTTTTTCCTCCTTTCTAAATAAATTTATTCCTTCCTTATTTTCCATTTAATCCTCTACATGAAAGCAAGCATTAGAACTTACATTTTTTTCCTCTTCTTGGTTTCTTGGATTTACACTTCTACAACAATTTACACTTCACATGTAAAATTTATCATATATTTTAGCTATTCTTTCTTAAATAGCTAAAGAAAGCTATGCCCATATGATAAAGTTACTTTCCCCAAGCATTTTCGTGATATTGTTCACTTTCTCAGGAGTCTATCATTGTAACCTCTTGCTATTACCAGATCCCAGGTTGTAGATCTGAACTTTAAGGTGATCTACTTATTTTACTTCTAATTCTTTGACATCAAAAATATTGATGATTTCTACTCTGAAACAGGGAATCTCAGATCCATTCAGTTTAACCTACTTGCCATTTATTAAACTTAACGTTCTCTTTTGTACATGATTTTCCATATACTACTATTCTTAACTGGGAAACCATTAAAATTGAAGGGAAGAGAGAACCCCTGTCAACACACACATAGACACACACACCATGCTCTTCTGAAGTTTGAACCAAGTTTCTGATTAAGTTTCTTAATCTTAAATATGGGGAATATAGGGAAAATTATTTTTAATGGTCCTCCCCCCATCCCAGAGCACATTGTATCAGAGGTAACAGTCACACAGTCTGAGAACAGATGCAGCATGTATAATACTCACTCCGTCTGCCACAGTGCCTGGTATACTCAGTACAAAAGAAGTGCACAGTGTATTGTTTCTCTGGGAGTTCTTAATTTGGTTCCATATGGATACCCTTTTTAAAAATGATAATTGGCTTGAGGATATAAAATTTACTACACCAATATGTCTGCATGCCAACTTTGCTTTCTGATTTACATAGGAAATGATCTTAAACATGTATAATCACACTTGTATCTACATAGTACACACATCTTTCAGTTACTCCCTATAAAAGTACAAAATGAAAATACTTACCTATGTATTATGTGCCTTGGAAAGCATGTAAAATTTACTGATATTTTAATACTTTTATAAACATATAGGTAAAACTATACATAAAGTACCTAGTTGATACATTTTAATAAACTGTCAACTTTTACATCTTTTCAATTTAATATAGTCTGTGTATATTAGAAAGTAATATTGCTGTGGAATTTTGGAATTACAAGAAAGAAAATGAGTTTATTCAAGTAAAATTCTACCAGTATTCATAGTACATTTTATAGATATATTTTTTAAAAGAGATTTCTTGTTCAGGCGATAATTGTTTATGATGCTTAAAAAATAATTATGTGAAATGTATCATCAATATTTAGAAGGTTTTAGGATTTGTTTTATATTAGTTATTTTATTTTTATATTAAATTTTATATTACAAAATGGTACTAATATATTGTCTTTATCTACTAGCTTTCCAGTCTTTGAAAATCCATATCCCATGGACATTCATGAATCACCAGTTACGTGCACAGCATATTTTGCTGATTGCCCACCAGATTTGATTCTAGTGCTCTACTCTATAGGAGTCAAGCATAAAAAACAAGGATACAGTAATAAGGTAAAAGCAACAATTAGAAAAATATTTTCCTGTATTCATATCTGTATCATATGATCATACTTTTTATTTTTTTTTCCTATGGGAAGTCAGAAAATGACTTGAACCAAATTATTTTCAAGTCATAAGCTTGCACACTAAAAAAGACAGTTTCTGAAAGCCAAATTATCTAAATGCTATATAGCTTTAAGTCTACAATAATATAAATTTCTTATATATTAAGTATATAATTATATACTAAGATATACTTACCTATCATGTATGTATATTTATATACTAAGTATGTGTGTGCTGAGTCACTTCAGTCTTGTCCAACTCTTTGTAACCCTATGGACTGTAGCCTGCCAAGCTCCTCTGTATTTGGGGACTCTCCAGGCTAGAACACTGGAGTGGGTTGCCATTCCCTTCTCCAGAGGATCTTCCTGACCCAGGGATCGAACCCATGTCTCATGTGGCTTCTGCCTTGCAGGCGAATTCTTTACCACTGAGCTACCAGGGAAGTCTATACTAATAATATGTTTAAACTAACATATGGTTGAGTAATAGGATGTTACTTTAGATTATTTTAGGTGAAAGACTATGGTTTTAAGAAATTCAAGTCAAATCTCTCTAGTTATTTCTTATCAATCAGTGGTTAATAAGACATAATTATCAAGTTATTTGTTAAATATAACAAAATGGAATTTTAGGAAGTTATTTAACTACAGGATTGAAATGCCTACAATTTTAAGAGCTCCATTATAATTTCTGTTATTTGCACAGGACTGTTCAGATGGACAACTCCAGGGGGCATAGTTTACATAGTGCTTTGTATTGAATGGCACCACAGCAGTTTGGGAGTACATAGCCTATGTGGAAAATATAGCAACACTGTATTTGTATGGTTAAAAATGCTTATTTGCATTTTTGGATGAATGGTAATATTTATTGAAATCTGTTTTTAAAGGATATTAAGTTATGCACTTGGAATTGTTCAATGAAAGAATTAAAAAATAGCTACAAATTTCATTCTTCATAAGTTAACAGCTATTTTAAGTGAAACTTTTACTCTTATTTTCAAATATTTTTATTTTAAATTTCTAAGTCATTTAAATTAAAAAAATAAAAGCTTATAATTTCTTCCTGTGTAATCTATTTAGGAGTGGCCAATCAGTGGAGGAGCTTGGAACCTTGGCACACAAACATATCCAGAAATCATTATTACTGGGTAAGTGGTTGTGATTTATGAGTTTGTCAATTTATCATCAAAAATATTTCATTGAATATTCACACTCTTCCATAATTCTGCTCTAGTAATGCTGACAGTTTAAATAAAAATATAAGACACAGCTTCTGTCCAAAGATTGTAACCTTTATAGAAGAGTCAAACCATTGAAAAACATAGATATATAACAATAAATAAGTATAGACTATAAGACCAGATGAAGGTCAAAGATAGAAAAATCATGAAAAATTAGTCAATGAAGAGTTTTTGTAGAATTCATAGACTATTAGCCTTGGAAAGGCCCTCATCAGTATCTCTTGATTCCTTCCAAATCTAGGAATCGCTGCTCTGTATCCCCATTAGGTGGTTATTTAAAGTATACTTCAAAACTTATAGAACCAGAAATGTTATTACTTCCTATAGCAGTCCACTTCATGCTCTAATATTAGGAATAAAAATAGAAACATAGCAACACACAAGATAAGATTTAAAAGATAATAAGGGACTCTGTTTGGGGATATAGAATAGATTTAATTTTCCCTATTCTTCCCACTAAGTACAACTAAACCCCCTGGATATTATGTATTTAAAAACATAATATGATTGAAAAAGATGAAGAGACGTCACACTGACTAGGGCCCCAAAGACCCAAGGAATGACATGGAGGTGAGTTTCCTGTCTTTTGTTTTTGTCTCATATATCCAAGAATTGGAACTGAAAAAGCTGGCAACCTGGAACTTCCAGTGGGCACAAACCTGAAAGGCCCAACAAAAGCTAGCTCTCTCTAGCCAACAAGATGAGGAAAGGGGCAGCCTATCAAGACAGAAAATTTTTAGAAAATAATCTTTCTACTGCAGCTAACCACCACAGGAAAAAACTGTGGCCCCCACCCCAACCCATTTCATCTAAGATTGAATGGGGAGCCTGGACTTCTACCCTCATCAGGCCACAACAGTGTACCTCAACTTACCCCAACTCAGTCTCTGAGACTGAGCATAGGTCTGAGTAGCGAGCTGGGACTTTTAAGTCTGCTGAGTGGTAATGAAACACATCACCTGTGGTGACAGAGATCATATGGGGAGACAGAATCCCCAGCACTGCCCAGCAGTAATGAGGAGCCATATACCCTCTCCTTTTTGTGTCAGTAGAAGTCCACTGGGGAAGGAGAAAAGAACAGGGCTGAAAAAGTTCATAAGGAAATAATGATGAAAACATCCCCAATTTGGCAAAAGACATGAACTGAGAGATTGCAGAAGGTGGGTGAGTCACAAGAAGTCCTCAAGATACATGATAGTCAAAATACTGAAAACTAAATTCCAAGGGGAAAAAATTTTGAAAACAGCAAAAGAGAAATGACACTTTTACCAACAGGGCAAAACTAATTTGAATGAAGGCAGATTTCCCACTAGAAAACATGGAGGCTAGAGGAAACCTGAATCTTTCAAGTGCAGAAAGAAAAGAACTGGCAACTTAGAATCCTATACCCAGCAAAAATGTCTTCTAGAAATTAGAAATTAATACATTCTAAGATGAAGGAAACTAAGAATTTGTCTGTATCAGACCTATTAAAAAGAATCCCAAAAGGAAGCTCTCTAAACAGAAAGCAAATGATAAAAGAAGGAACCTTGGATTATGAAGAAGGAAGGAAGCCCACAGTAAGTGAAAATCTGGGCAACTACAATAGGCTTTCTTGCTTTTGAGTTTTTAAAATTATATTTGATGATTGAAGAAATTACAGTTGTTAATAATATGGTTTGATTATATTGTTTGATGTGGTTTTACATATGTATAGAGGAAATATTTAAGGCAATTATAAATGGGCAAGGGTAAACTGGTATAAAGAAAGATAAAGTTTTTATGTGCTAAGTTGCTTCAGTCATGTCGAACTGTGTGCGACACCTATGGACTATAGCCTGCTAGGCTCCTCTGTCTATGGGATTCTCCAGGCATGAATACTGGAGTAGGTTGTCATGCCTTCCTCCAGGAGATCTTCCCAAACCAGGTATCAAATCTGCATCTCTTACATCTCCTGTCTTCACAGGCAGGTTCTTTACCACTAGCACCCCTACTTACCTTAAAATGGTAGTATGATAACATCAGTAGACTATGATAAGTTAAATGAATATACAGTGCAGTACCTAATGCAACCCTGTTTAAAAAAAAAAAAAAACTGGGCTAAGAGATATACTCAAAACATTACTGACTCATAAAAATGGATGTACTAAAATAATTCAAATAGCCCATAGGAAAGAAGGTGAAAAAACAGTGACAATAGAAGAGGAAAAAACAAAAGTAAAAAAAAGTGTTGTTATTGAAATTTTAAGGCTTAAATGTAAATGGTCTAAATACATTAGTTCAAATGCACTGATTGTCAGAGTGGATTAAAAAATATAACCAAACTGCATGCAATTAACAATACACTCACTTCAAATATAATAGTATCACCAGGTTAAGAGAAAAAGGACAGAAAAATACTTCATAAAAGAGTCAGTGGAGAGTGACATCAGCAAGATGTCAAAATAAGTAACCCCAGACCTTGTTCTCCCACAGATACACAGATTTAACAACAATATATGGTCTAAAACCCTTTATGAAAAACTCTAGAAACCAGTTAGAAAATCATAGTATCCCAGGGGAGCTCAAAGCCAGGAATAGCCACTCTGAAATGGGTGAAAATAATCATTTTATTTCAGCTGTGTCAGCTCCCCACCCCTAAATTGGCACAGCTCATGTTCAAGGAGGAATTGAATAAGAAGGAAATTATGGACTAGACTGTGCATCCAATGTTCCTGATTTTCAAGGGACTTCCAAAGAGACTAGTTTTCATTTCCCCTCAGTCAGAATACTGATGGAATCTGGATGTCCGGGTATCCACAGAAAACAAGAGAGAGCTCAGTGGCTTGTTGAAATGCCAGGATACTTGCAGGACTACAGACATAATGGATGGAGCAAGAGTGTGCAAGCTCCTGAAAAAGGAAACCAGCAAACCTCTATAGTTGGGAAATTATACACACAATCCCAGAGAAGATGCATCCCCACTGAAGGTTTGAGAGACCCCAAAGAGCTTGGTGAAGGTCTTTCCCTGTATAAAGCCAGTTGTGGCTGTATTTTCAAATGCTAAATTCACAACATAAAATAACAAGGCACATAAAAAAAATAGGCAAACACAGCCGAATCAAAGGAACAAGATACATGTCTAGAAACTGACCCTAAAGAATTTGATATCTGTGATTACATGACAATTCAAAATAATTGTCTTAAAGAAAATGCATGACAAGAGAACACAAGCAGACAACTAAACAAAATAAGGAAAGTGATGCATGAGTGAAATTAAAATATTAACAGAGAGGTAGAAACTATTAAAAAGAACCAGAAATAAATTTTTAAGTGAAACGATACAATGACTGAATTGAAGATTTTACTGGAAGGGATCAACAGCAGATTTAATCAGAAGAAAGAACTAGCAAATTTGAAGATATAAGAAATACTGAGTGAGAGGGATAAAAGTTAAAAGAATGGGACAGAGGAATTATTTGAAGAAATGTTGGCTAAAAGCTTCTCAAATCTGAGGAAGTAAATGGACTTCCATATTCATTGGGTATGTATCAGAATACTCCAGTGAGGATGAACCCAAGGAGGACAACACTGAGACACATTATAAACAAATTGTCAAAGACAAAGAAACAGTCTTAAAAGCAGCAACAGAAAAGCTATTCATTATGTGTATGAAAACTTACATGAGATTATCATTGGATTTCTCAGCGGAAATATTATAGGCTAGAGGGGAGTAAGATGATATATTTAAAGTGCATTAAGAATAAAAGAAAAACCAGCTATGAACACTGCATCTGGGAAATTGTACTTCAAAAATGAAGGAGAAATGAAGGCCTTCCAAGATAAACAAAGGGCTTCCCTGATACCTCAGTTGGTAAAGAATCTACCTGCAATGCAGGAGATCCTAGTTCAGTTCCTGGGTCAGGAAGCTACCCTGGAGAAGGGAAAGGCTACCCACTCCAGTATTCTGGCCTGGAGAATTCCATGGACTGTATAGTCTATGGGGTCATGAAGAGTCCGACACAACTGAGCGACTTTCACTTTCACTAAGATAAACAAAAACATTTATTAGCAGTATACTTGCCTCACAAGGATTGCTAAAGGGAGTCCTTTGAGTTGAAATGAATGAACACTAGACAATAAAATGAAAGCAAGAGAAAATATAAAGCTCTCTGGTAAAAGTAAATACATAGACAAAAACAGAATCCTGTAACACTGTAGTGGTGGTGAATCACTTTAAATTCAGGTGCTTTTTCTTTGTTTATTGAGATGATAATGGTTTTTCTTTTTCAATCTGACAGTATAATGAAATATACATGGCGATTGATTTTTAAGAATGTTTAACTGGCATCGCATTTCTGGGATAAACCACACTTAGTTTTATGATATATTATCCTTATGCTTTTTAAATTAGATTTGCTAATATTTTGTTGACAGTTTTTTTCCTTACATCTATGCTCAAGGGATATTGGTCTGTCATTTTCTTTTCTTGCCATGTTTTTTCATGGCTTTGGTGTCAGGATAAACCTGACCTCATGAAATGTGTTGGGAAGTATTCTGTACTCTGTGGCTCAGTGGTAGAGTCTACATGCAGTGCAGGAGACCTGAATGTGATCCCTGGGTCGAGAAGATTCCCTGGAGAAAGGATAGGCTATCCACTCCAGTATTCTTGCCTGGAGAATTCCATGGACAGAGGAGCCTGGTGGGCTACAGTCTATGGGGTCACTAATAGTAATTCAAGTTTTTATACAGTTCGAACAATTATGATTTTTTAATTGACCATACTTAATGCTAATTTATTTCTTATCTAGGCATGCAGATGGATCAATTAAGTTTTGGGATGCATCTGCAAGTAAGTTTTACATTTTTCCTTCTATTATAGAAAAAACACTTGGTTAGTATTTACTCATAGCCATTTACCACTTTTTAGTTTGGACAGTTAACATTTTAGATAAATATTTAGCATACACGTATCGTTGTATTATTTCTACTGTACTTTTTTTCTATGATATAGGCAGAACTGAAACACTCTTTATTAGCAACCTATTATAAGGGGTAAGGTAAGCTGAAAAAATGTACCAAATTGTTCATATGTCAGAGTAACTCTGCTCAAAGAATTTCCTTCACTTCTTCACTCTGTGGTCTTGGAAAAGTGCTTTTGTCCTACTAGTCTTTATTTTCCTTTGCTGCTTGTCTACCAAGTATCTGAGAATCAAAAGAAATAAGTTGGTAAGTGTAAATTTTCTTTTGAAATCTTGAGAATTACCTAATTTAAGGACAAAAACTAATCTGCTCAATATTTAAGACTTGATTATACCCATACATACCCTTCAGAAAATTTATAGGGCAAACAATATGGTAAGAACTCTAAATGTAGTACAACCCAAGTTCTATTTGATATTGGAAATGGGAGATTTATTTGAACCAGGTAGATTCAGAAATGTATTTTGATGGGGTAACATTGTGTGAATTTTAGAAGATAAGATTTTGATAGGACTAGGAGGAGAGAATAACTGAGTAATGTCTCTTAACTTTGTGAGGATGAGTAATCATCAAGATGGAGACAACTCTTCAGAAATAAGAATACAGGAGAGTTCTGAAGGTTTGGGTTTTGTTGGAACACCAGGAAATTCAAGTAAAAATGTCCATCAGTTAGGAAGAACAGTCAAGAATGGTATATAATGAAGAAGCAGCACTAAAGTGATACCTGAAGCTATAGAAGTAAACTGAGAAAGACTGTGATAAACAGAAAAGCAGGGGAAGAAAGTTGAATATTAATGACAGTCTTAGTCTGCAAGCTTGAGTCCTTTAGCAGTGGAACAAAACATCAACAAAGGAAAATTATTAAAAGATTTAAAACCATGAATTCTGAGGCCCCTTTCTGATCTCACAATAAAGAACAGTTGATGAGAAATTCCAAAGGATGACAGTTTTTTATTTTGATGAACCTTTTCATGTAAATCTGAATTTGTTCCATGAACACAATTAATTGCACAGTGATATCTTTGCTCATTTCATACCACCTCAAAGTTACTCCTTATCTTTTAGAATGTGAGAAATAAATGTAAACCTAATGACTTAAATGCATGCCACCCTGAAAGCATACATGATAATATTTTAGGAAGTTAACTTCTAAATAAAGTATTTTATTATACTCAGAACATATATTATAAAAGTTTGCAGCATGTTTAATATTTTTACTGTAATCCATTATAACAGCATATCTTCAAATCAGTGTATGTTATTGGAGAAATATCAGTTAGTGTGCCAGTTTTGTGGGATAGGGTCCAGTACAGGAAATGAAGTTATATTTAATTTGAATAGATATGTGTACTGTTGACCCTTGAATAACATGGGGGTCAGTCAGATTGGCTGTACCAACCCTCTACATAGAACCCCCTACCCATAACTTACAATTGGGGCATAATTTATAGTTGGCCCTCACTTACAGTGTTCCTCTGTATCTGTGATTCAGCATCTGAGGATTCAGTCATTCTCAGATTGTGTAGTACTATAGTATTTACTACTGAAAATAATCTGAGAATAAGTGGACCCATGCATTTCAAGCCTGCATTATTCAAGGATCAGGTGTATTCATCTTCAGTTGCTGAGTAAGAAAGGAGAGACAAGAAAGCCTTCCTCAGTGATCAATGCAAAGAGAGGAAAACAATAGAATGGGAAAGACTAGAGATCTCCTCAAGAAAATGAGAGATGCCAAGGGAACATTTCATGCAAAGATGGGCAAAATAAAGGACAGAAATGGTATGGACCTAACAGAAGCAGAAGATATTAAGAAGAGGTGGCAACAATACACAGAAGAACTGTACAAAAAAGATCTTCATGACCCAGATAACCATGATGATGTGATCACTCACCTAGAACCAGACATCCTGGAGTGAGAAGTCAAGTAGGCTTTATGAAGCATCACTATAAACAAAGCAGATAGAGATAATGGAATTCCAACTGAGCTATTTAAAATCCTAAAGATGATGCTGTGAAAATGCTGCACTCAATATGCCAACAAATTTGGAAAACTCAGCAGTGGCCACAGGACTGGAAAAGGTCAGTTTTCATTCCAATCCCAAAGAAAGGCAATGCAAAAGAATGTTCAAACTATGATACAATTGCACGCATTTTACACACTAGCAAAGTAATACTCAAAATTCTCCAAGTCAGTCTTCAACACTAAGTGAACCATGAACTTCCAGATGTTCAAGCTGGATTTAGAAAAGGCAGAGGAACCAGAGATCAAATTGTCAACATCTGTTGGAGCATAGAAAAAGCATGAGAATTGTAGAAAAACATGTACTTCTGTCTCATTGACTATGCTGAAGCTTTTGACTGTGTGGATCACAACAAACTGTGGAAAATTCTTCAAGAGATGGGAATACCAGACCACCTTACCTGCCTCCTGAAAAATCTGTATGCAGGTCAAGAAGCATCAGTTAGAACTGGACATGCAACAACTGACTGGTTCCAAATTGGGAAAGGAGTACGTTAAAGGCTGTATATTGTCACTGTGCTTATTTAACTTATATGCAGAGTATATCATGCAAAGTGCCAGGCTGGATGAAGCACAAGATGGAATAAAGATTGTGATTGAAATATCAATAACCTCAGATATACAGATGATACCACCCTTATGAGAGAAAATGAAGAGAAACTAAAGAGCATCTTGATGAAAGTGAAAGAGGAAATTGAAAAAGCTCACTTAAAACTCAGCATTCAAAAAACCAAGACCATGGCATCCAGTCCCATTACTTCATGGCAAATAGATGGGGAAACAATGGTAACAGTGACAGACTTTATTTTCTTGGGCCCCAAATCACTGCAGATGGTGACTACAGCCATGAAATTAAACGATACTTGCTCCTTGGAAGAAAAGCTATGACAAAACTAGATAGCATATTAAACAGCAGAGACATTTCTGACAAAGGTCCATCTAGTCAAAGCTATGGTTTTTCCAGTAGTTATGTGTGGATGTGAGAGTGGGACTATAAGAAGTATTAGCGCCAAAGAATTGATGCTTTTGAACTGTGGTGTTGGAGAAGACTCTTGAGAGTCCGTTGGACAGCAAGGAGATCAGTCAGTCCTAAAGGAACTCAATCCTTAATATTCACTGGAAGGACTGATACTAAAGCTCCAATACTTTGTTCACCTGATTCTAAGAGCTGACTCACTAGAAAAGACCCTGTTGCTGGGAAAGATTGAAGGCAGGAGGAGAAGGGGATGACAGAGGGATGAGATGGTTGGATGGCATACCAACTCAATGGACATGAGTTTGAGCCAGTTCCAGGAGATGCTAATGGACAGGGAGGCATGTTGTGCTGCAGTCCATGGGGTCGCAAAGAGTTGGACATGACTGATTGACTGAACACAGCAAATTACCACAAGTTAGCAGTTTAAAACAATACCCATATATTGCTTCACAGTTTCTGTGTCATGAATCTGGGTCAGATTCTTTGGGTTCTTTGCTCAGGTCTGCTGCTGCTGCTAAGTCACTTCAGTTGTGCTGAACTCTGCAACCCCATAGACGGAAGCCCACCAGGCTCCCCCATCCCTAAGATTCTCCAGGCAAGAATACCAGAGTGGGTTGCCATGTCCTTCTCCAATGCATGAAAGTGAAAAGTGAAAGTGAAGTCGCTCAGTCGTGTCTGACTCTTAGCGACCCCATGGACCGCAACCTACCAGGCTCCTCTGTCCATGGGATTTTCAAGGCAAGAGTACTGGAGTGGGGTGCCATTGCCTTCTCCATTGCTTGGGTCTAAGAGACTGAAATTGAGGTGTTGGCTAGTCTGCAGCTCAGAGTTCTCTTCCAAGCTCATGTAATTGTTGGCAGAATTCATTTTCTTGCAGTTTTAAAACTCATGTCCAAAACAATCAATTTCACCTTTTTCTCAAGTGCACATGGAACCTTCTCCAGAATAGATCACATCCTGGGCCATAAATCTAGCCTTGCTAAATTTAAAAAAATTGAAATTATTCCAGTCATCTTTTCTGACGACAATGCAGTAGGATTAGGTCTCATTTACAGGGGAAAAAACTATTAAAAATTCAAACATATGGAGGCTAAACAACATGCTTCTGAATATGCAACAAATCATGGAAGAAATCAAAAAAGAAATCAAAAAATGCATAGAAATGAATGAAAATGAAAACACAACAACCCAAAACCTATGGGACACTGTAAAAGCAGTGCTAAAGGGAAGGTTCGTAGCATTACAGGCTTACCTCAAGAAACAAGAAAAAAAAGTCAAATAAATAACCTAACTCTACACCTAAAGCAACTAGAGAAGGAAGAAATGAAGAACCCCAGGGTTAGTAGAAGGAAAGAAATCTTAAAAATTAGGGCAGAAATAAATGCAAAAGAAACAAAAGAGACCATAGCAAAAATCAACAAAGCTAAAAGCTGGTTTTCTGAAAAGATAAACAAAATTGACACCATTAGCAAGACTCATTAAGAGATAAAGGGAGAAGAACCAAATCAACAAAATTAGAAATGAAAATGGAGAGATCACAACAGACAACACTGAAATACAAAGGATCATAAGAGACTACTACCAGCAGCTCTATGCCAATAAAATGGACAACTTGGAAGAAATGGACAAATTCTTAGAAAAGTATAACTTTCCAAAACTGAACCAGGAAGAAATAGAATATCTTAACAGGCCCATCACAAGCATGGAAATCGAAACTGTAATCAGAAATCTTTCAGCAAACAAAAGCCCAGGACCAGATGGCTTCACAGCTGAATTCTACCAAAAATTTAGAGAAGAGCTAACACCTATCTTACTCAAACTCTTCCAGAAAATTGCAGAAGATGGGAAACTTCCAAACTCATTCTATGAGGCCACCAAACCATAATTCCAAAACCAGACAAAGATGCCACAAAAAAAAAAAAAAGAAAACTACAGGCCAATATCACTGATGAACATAGATGCAAAAATCCTTAACAAAATTCTAGCAAACAGAATCCAACAACATATTTAAAAGATCATACATCATGACCAAGTGGGCTTTATCCCAGGAATGCAAGGATTCTTTAATATCTGCAAATCAATGTAATACACCACATTAACAAATTGAAAGATAAAAACCATATGATTATCTCAATAGATGCAGAAAAAGCCTTTGACAAAATTCAACATCCATCTATGATAAAAACTCTCCAGAAAGCAGGAATAGAAGGAACATACCTCAACATAATAAAAGCTATATATGACAAACCCACAGCAAACATTATCCTCAATGGTGAAAAATTGAAAGCATTTCCCCTAAAATCAGGAACAAGACAAGGGTGTCCACTACCACCACTACTATTCAACATAGTGTTGGAAGTTTTGGCCACAGCAATCAGAGCAGAAAAAGAAATAAAAGGAATCCAGATAGGAAAAGAAGAAGTGAAACTCTCGCTGTTTGCAGATGACATGATCCTCTACATAGAAAACCCTAAAGACTCTACCAGAAAATTACTAGTGCTAATCAATGAATATAGCAAAGTTGCAGGAATATAAAATTAACACACAGAAATCTCTTGCATTCCTATACACTAACAATGAGAAAACAGAAAGAGAAATTAAGGAAACAATACCATTCACCATTGCAACAAAAAGAATAAAACACTTTGGAGTATATCAACCTAAAGAAACAAAAGACCTATACATAGAAAACTATAAAACACTGATGAAAGAAATCAAAGAGGACACAAATAGATGGAGAAATATACCGTGTTCATGGATTGAAAGAATCAATATTGTGAAAATGAGTATACTATCCAAAGAAATCTATAGATTCAGTGCAATCCCTATCAAGCTACCAATGTTATTCTTCACAGAACTAGAACAAATAATTTCACAATTTGTATGGAAATACAAAAAAACCTCGAATAGCCAAAGCAGTCTTGAGAAAGAAGAATGGAACTGGAGGAATCAACCTGCCTGACTTCAGGCTCTACTACAAAGCCACAGTCATCAAGAGAGTATGGTACTGGCACAAAGACAGAAATATAGATCAATGGAACAAAATAGAAAGCCCAGAGATAAATCCATGTACCTATGGACACCTTATCTTCGACAAAGGAGGCAAGGAGACACAATGGAAAAAAGACAACCTGTTTAACAAGTGGTGCTGGGAAAACTGGTCAACTACTTGTAAAAGAATAAAACTAGAACACTTTCTAACACCATACACAAAAATAAACTCAAAATGGATTAAAGGTCTAAATGTAAGACCAGAAACTATAAAACTCCTAGAGGAGAATATAGGCAAAACACTCTCTGACATAAATCACAGCAGGATCCTCTATGACCCACCTCCCAGAATATTGGAAATAAAAGCAAAAATAAGCAAATGGGACCTAATGAAACTTAAAAGCTTTTGCACAACAAAGGAAACTATAAGCAAGGTGAAAAGACAGCCCTCAGATTGGGAGAAAATAATAGCAAATGAAGCAACAGATAAAGGATTAATCTCAAAAATATACAGGCGACTCCTGCAGCTCAACTCCAGAAAAATAAATGACCCAATCAAAAAATGGGCCAAAGATCTAAACAGACATTTCTCCAAAGAAGACATACAGATACAAACACATGAAAAATGCTCAACATCACTCATTTTCAGAGAAATGCAAATCAAAACCTCAATGAGGTACCATATACGCCAGTAAGAATGGCTGCTATCCAAAAGTCTACAAGCAATAAATGCTGGAGAGGGTGTAGAGAAAAGGGAACCCTCTTATACTGCTGGTGGGAATGCAAACTAGTACAGCCACTATGGAGAACGGTGTGGAGATTTCTTAAAAAACTGGAAATAGAACTGCCATATGACCCAGCAATCCCACTCCTGGGCATACACACCGAGGAAACCAGATCTGAAAGAGACACATGTACCCCAGTTTTCATCGCAGCACTGTTTATAATAGCCAGGACATGGAAGCAACTTAGATGCCCATCAGCAGACAAATGAATAAGAAAGCTATGGTACATATACACAATGGAATATTACTCAGCCATTAAAAAGAATTCATTTGAATTAGTTCTAATGAGGTGGATAAAACTGGAGCCCATTATGCAGAGTGAAGTAAGCCAGAAAGAAAAACACCAGTACAGTATACTAATGCATATATGTGGAATTTAGAAAGATAGTAATGATAACCCTATATGCAAGACAGAAAAAGAGACATAGATGTATAGAACAGACTTTTGGACTCTATGGGAGAAGGCAAGGGTGTGATGATCTGAGAGAACAGCATCGAAACATGTGTATTATCAATGTGAAACAGATCGCCAGTCCAGGTTGGATGCATGAGACAAGTGCTCGGGACTGGAGCACTGGCATGACCCAGAGGGATGGGATGGGGAGGGAGGTGGGAGGGGGGTTCAGGATGTGGAACACATGTAAATCCATGGCTGATTCATGTCAATGTATGGCAAAAACCAATACAATATTTTAAAGTAATTAGCTTCCAACTAATAAAAATAATTGGGAAAAATAAATAAATAAATAAAACTCATGTGATTTGTTTCTTTAAAGTGTGTCTCTAACTTCAGGGAGGGCCTCAGTCCCTCTTTTAAAGGGCTCACCAGATTCTTTTGGGCCTACTAAGGATAATCTCTATTGGTTAACTCAAAGTCAAATCATTATGTCATATCAAGCTTACAGAAAAATCACAAAAATGTACTATGAAGTGTGTATAGCCTTCAGCAAGATTACCCAAATTTCAGTGTATACATGTGTTCCCTTCACCCACTCTTCTATCATATGCATGCTGTCAATCTAGCACTTGCTTGCTTGTACCCTTTCTCTTTTGCCTCCATTTTCTTAGACACATACACACATGAACATATACATGTACATAGCTTTTCATAATCATTTGAGAGTAAGCTACAAATATGATGTTCTTAACAGTACATGCCCCCCTAAATACTTCAGTGTGTATTTCTTACAAACAAGGGCACTCTTTTATGTTATGAAATCATAGTTATCAAAATCAGGAGTTTAATATTAATATAATACTACTATCTAACTTCCAGATCTTACTCACTTTAGCCAATTGTTCCAATAATATCTCATTTAGTAAAATAAAATCTCAGATTATTTGTTGGATTGTAGTAGTCTATCTTTTGACTTTTCTTTAGTCTGGCATGACTAAGATGGCATTTTTAGTTCAGGCCAGTTCTTTTGTAGAATCTCTTTCATTTTGAGTCTGACTAATGTTTCTCATGATTGTTTCAGATTGTGCACATTTGGCAGGAACTCCCAGACTTTTAGAAATTTTCTCAAGAATCCTTTTTAGGATCAGAGATCTTAACATTGTGGAACTATCATCCAGTTCTAAAATGGAAATAATATTCCTCCAAATAAATATTCCTGAAACCAATTCACAGACCAGACTTTTTGAAATTATAACTGAATGTTTCCTAACACAGAGCCACTCAGAAATGGCCTTTCTAAAATAATCGAGATCATTCCCAATATTGCTAACTGGTAAATTACAAGTATTTCTCATCTGAAGGAATGTCTAAAAATTTGTTAAGAGGAATAAACTCTTGAATAGCATCAACCTTTCATCCAACAATCAAAAGGGAAAACAATGAAAAAAGATGTATGGAAAGAGTAACATGGAAACTTACATCATCATCTGCAAAATAGACAGCCAAGGGGAATTTTCTGTATGCTCAGGAAACTCAGCCAGGGGCTCTGCATCAACCTAGAGGGGTGGGATGGGGAGGGAGATGGGAGGGAAATTCAAAAGGGAGGGGATATATGTATACCTATGGCTGATTCATGTTGAGGTTTGATAGAAAACAACAAAATTCTGTAAAGCAATTATACTTCAATTAAAATTTTTTTTTTGTGTGTGTGTTTTTGTGTTTTTTTTTATTTTTTATTAGTTGGAGGCTAATTACTTTACAATATTGTAGTGGCTTCTGTCATACATTGACATGAATCAGCCATGGATATACATGTATTCCCCATCCCGATCAAAAAGGACTTCTCTTGGGAAAGAAGTAGATTCAGTAATTTCATTATAAACTTTCTGAACTCAAGTGTTTTATCAGTAAACAAAGATAGAAATACTTCATGGGACTCTTCTGAGGAACACATGAGACAGTGCACACAAAGTCCTGCACATTCCTTGGTATACAGTATATGTTCAATACATGTTTATTTTTTCCCTATAGTCTTCCTCTAGCTCAACGGTACTGATATGAGAGCATGACTGAATAATTCCTTATTAAAATGTAGTTAATTTTGTTTACTTGGATTTTAATTTTTGTGATGTAACAGATATATTGAAAAAGCTTCAACAAATGAAAGAATTAAGTGCAAATTAGAAGATAACTATGATTCAATATCTTATAGTAACTCTGCAGATGCTATACAAGCTAAAAACTTCAAAAGTGTTTGAAAAACAGAAGGTAGGAGAAGGAAAACAAACATGTGAGATTGTAGAGGAAGACCCATATGCCATTCAGATGATCTACTGGTGTCCAGAGAGCAGAATATTCTGTGTATCAGGAGTCTCTGCATATGTCATAATTTATAAATTCAGCAGACATGAAATTACAACAGAAATAGTGGTAAGTCATTTAAAAATTAACTTTTACACTTCCAGTTATTAAAAGGAAACAATTATCATAGATTTTGACTAGTGCTTGGTATGGTTTTAAGCCGTCAAGAGTACAGTACATAGTCAGTTATCCAATTCATAGAATTTTTAATTGTTTTTGTTACTATGTTAAAAAATAATGTGATTTAAAATGACAAAGTCAGCTATCAAAATTTAGTATTATTAAATAGGATAGACTATGCCTATAGGTTTTATATACACAGTCATTGATTTATTTTATGTATAAATGTCAAATTAATGCAAGCTTTGTTCTATATCTTTATTAAATTTTTTAGGTTGTCCCTTTTGTCAATTAACTGCCATAAATACTATCAACTGCAGTAAGATTACTTTGAATGATCTTTTAAATAGCAACATTTTTTATAGGGTGGAAATAATTATGGGGCTGCTTTACTTAATATTAAGTTTTAATCATAATGAAATAGTTTAATTATTCAAAATAATGATGCTCTTAAGGGATAAGTTAAGTCTAAATAAAGGCACCTGTATAATGGGTCTTCTCTACCCACTCCATTTTATCAGAAAATAAAGATTTTCTATTAAAGGCCTAAATATAACTGCTTTTACCTTAGTGAATAAAATTACACATTGCTCTTGGAGTATAGTAGTAGTTAAATCCCAGGCATTGGAGTCAGATAACCCTAGCTTTTAATTCTGGCTTTACCAGTGAATACCTGTGTGACTAAACAAGTCACAAGACCCCATTAGTCAGTAGTATAGTCCAAGTAAAGACTCAGCTTCATCACTCATATAATTTCCTGTGTAAACAAAATAGAAAGATAGAAAGTAGTGATAAACTAGAAATTGTAATGCCATTTCCATAGGGTTTTGTGATATTATGTAAAGTCATTAGCAGAGTATCTAAGTGTAGTAAGCACTTGATAATTGTTAATGCCACCAGAGGATTTAAGTGTTAAGATAATTATGAAAATAATTTGGATAATATTGCTGTATTCACTACTCCATAATTTCATTTTTTGTAAGCAATTGTGTTCAATGTTAAAAATGCTTATTTTTACACTGAAAGACAATGTTTGTGTTATAAAATTGATTTTTTTGAAGCATTGAATGTAGTCATAAGGTAATTTTTAAACATTCTTAGCTTAAAAAAAAGGGTTTTGGATCACCTTTTTTTCCGATTTAAATTATCATGTTTTTTTCATTAAGCAATTCTGACCAAGCTAATGAAATTATATAAGAGCTAAACTAATAAACAAAATATGGAATTTATTTTGGAAAATTATACTGAATTAATTCAAAGTCAAGATTGAATGAATTTTTTTAAAGCTAAAAAGTTTTGTACAAATAACAATTTGTGTGTTGTGTATATGTAAATAAACATACACATCCAATTTAGTTTATTTCATTGGACTAACCAGACCAATTTCTCCTTTTATTTTATCATATGTGGAATTGTAATTTATACTTTATCTTAAGGAATATTTATTATATAGAAAATTTATCTCCACTGGTAGGTGTTTTTCTTATAATTCTAAAGAATAAAAAACATTTTACATTTTTTGTGAATGCTATTGAATATTTTATGTAATTTACTATTTAATTCAGTTTAGGGTATCTTTACTATGAATTGAAATTGAACTAGTTAATCTGAACAAATAATAATTACCAAAAAATGCCAGATATTTTAATATTATCATTATTATCATGACAACCTTGATTAAATCAAAACTTGATTTTTCTTTTTTTAAGTCATTAGAGGTACGACTGCAGTATGATATTGAAGATATTATTACCCCAGAACCAGAAACAAGTCCTCCATTTCCAGATCTTTCATCCCAACTTCCTTCAAGGAGTCTTTCTGGAAGCACTAACACTGTGGCTAGTGAAGGAGTAACAAAGGACAGTATCCCATGCCTCAAGTAAGAGTTGCTGCCAAGTTTTAAAACAACTTTACATGTTAATTATGTGATTCTTTGAAACTTGCCAAATGAAATTATCCTCTTTTATTAAGTTGTCAAGTGGTCTACATTCCACCAAGAGGTACCTTGGTCTTTTGGGGGACTATCATCTATGAAAAGAGCTCAGTATTTTTTTTTCATTTATTTTTATTAGTTGGAGGCTAATTACTTTACAATATTGTAGTGGTTTTTATCATACATTGACATGAATCAGCCACTATTTATAATAGCCAGGACATGGAAGCAACCTATATGCCCATCAGCAGACCAATGGATAAGGAAGCTGTGGTACATATACACCATGGAATATTACTCAGCCAGTATTTTTATTCTTCATTACTAATTAATACATTTCCTTCCCTGAAGAACCCTAAAGAAAACATAGCTTTGATAGAGAAGGCTGAAGGTGAGGTGGAGCAAATTTAGAGAGCAAGAACAGGAATTCAGGTTTTGAATATGTTGAACTCAAGTTGGGTTGTAGATTAATGGTCATAGTTCTTACTGTCATGCATTATAACTTAACCCATATGTAACAAATATTGTGTAATAAAAATAATTAAATAATAAAAATAATTTAAAATGCTACTATCAAAAGAGAAAAAAGAACTCATGAAGTCCAGTGAAGTTCTATATCTTGACTGACTGAAAAAACTACTTCAAGGAACGGTTAAGACATGACAAGTGGCTTGGTGTATTTTGAGAAAGCTAGAAGATACTGTTTACTTGCATAATGTCCTCAGTGCCTGGTATTGTATATTTCTGTAGGAAGATTATTGTTATGAATTCTGAAAATCAGCATGAGCATATGTATTCGAACTGTGTATGATGCAATTATTTTTTCTGTTTTTCTAGTGTTAAGACACGACCAGTGCGGATGCCTCCAGGATATCAAGCAGAACTTGTTATTCAGTTGGTGTGGGTGGATGGTGAACCTCCACAACAGATTACTAGCCTTGCTGTGAGCTCGGCGTATGGAATGTAAGTAGTTAAACATTCTTTCTAATTTGTATAATTTATCTAATATGTTTGATACATTGAATGTTTCTTTAAAATACTTAAGTCCCCTTGCCTGGATTTTTATTAGGTTGGAAATTGTATAAGAAAATAGTAATTTAAACATAAATTGTGGTTAAATGTTCTTTCTTGATGTCAAACTTGTAATAATATCTCTCTCCACTTTTATTGTTGGGAGGCTATTAAGATATTATCACACTCATACATTTTTATTTGTTTTGTGTTTTCTATCCTTTCACTCTTTGTGTTTCATTTTGGATACTTTCTTCTGACTTATCTTTAAAAGTTCACCAGTTCTTCAGTGGTATCTAATCTAATGGTAGACTCACCCATGGAGTTAAATTTCAGTTCTCTTTTAGCTCTAGACCTTCCACTTGGTTCTTTTTAAAGTTCTCTGTTGAAAAAAATAAAAAATAAAAAAAAATAAAGTTCTCTGTTATCTTCCTAAATTATCACCCTTCTATTTCCTTGAACATGTTGAATGTAGTTACTTTAAATATGTGTTTGACAGGGAGCTCAATCTGGTGCTCGGTAATAATATAGAGGGACAGATGGGGTTAGAGACATATGTATACTTATGGCTGATTCAGGTTGTTGTATGGCAGAAGCCAACACTACACTGTGAAGCAATTATCCTCCAGTTTTAAAAAAATGTGTTTGATAACTAGCTTATTATTTGTCTTGGGTTTGGGTCACATTACATTGTTATCATATCTTAGGTTTGCCTTTTGGTTTTGTTTTGTTTTCTTCAAACATTATATACTACTATATGTGTGTGTGTGTATCTCTATTATAGAGATAATTTGAGGTTCTAAATGATGTTTTCATCCTCCAGAAAGTATTATTTCTCTGACTGACTAAGCTAATAGGCAGTATAGAAAGCTCAGACAGGATAATTCAATCAGACATCCTATCTTTGAAAGTTGGATTGTATTCCCTTTAAGCACTAATTTAGTTCTAATTAATTCTTATTCCTAGTTTGTACCCTGCATAGACATTGTATCAAAGTCTGCTCCCATCAGCAGTGTTTGAGGATACCTGATTCCTTACAACCTTTCTAACAGCAGTGTATAACCAAACATCATTTTGTTAAGTAAAAGGAAGTTTATTATTATAATATTAGCACTTTCCTTGTATCTTAAATGAAACCAAACATCTATTTTTCTCTAGTGACATTTCTGTGTATATTGTTTGTCTGTTTTTTTGCAGTTATCATTTTTTTGTAGATTTGTGAAAAATGTTTATGTAGTAAGGAAGTTAGTTTTCTCTGTGATGAAACCTACAGACATTTTTCTTGGTTTTGTTTATGACTTTGATTAGGATTTTTATTTCAAGCAAAAATTTTAAAAATATTTAAATAATTCTGTTTTTTCTTTTCTGGCTCTGGGTTTTGTGTCATTCTTAGAAAAGCTTTTCTCACTTCAAGATCATGAAGAATAATGTCTTATATATTTATTCCTTTAATATATTTAGGTCTTTATCCAGAGTTTATTTTGGTATGAGACATGAAATAGGAATTATTTTATTTCTTACCTGATGGCTAAGAGTTATGCCAATACCACTTGCTGAATATTTCATCTTTCCCTTCTAAATTTGGAATCATCTTTTATCAAATTAATACATTTATATACATATATACACACATGCATTGGGCTTCCCAAGTGGTGCTACTGGTAAAGAACCCTCTTGACAATGCAGAAGACAAAGATACAGGTTCAAACTCTGGGTTGGGAAGATCCCCTGGAGAAGGGTATAGCAACCCTCTCTAGTATTCTTGTCTAAAGAATCTCATGGACAGATGAGCCTGACAGGCTACAGTCCATAGGGTTGCAAAGAGTCAGACACAATTGAAACAACTTAGTACACATGCATATATATAGCTCTGTTTCTATATACCCAGTCTGCCCCTAAGCTAAGTCTCATGAGCTCCAAGAGAACTTGAAGCCAGCTGAAGGGGTAAACCTGAAAACAATCTTGTGTTCTTAGAGGTTTGGGGGTGTATGTAAAAGATGTATGTGAATATAGATACTGGAAGTTTGCTCTTGACTGAAAAATCCTTTGATAGGAAAGCTGGCAGGAACAGCTCAGGGATGAGGGGTGAAAGGAAGGTAGTGTGGGACAGCTATAATGCTATTTGTTTGACATGGCCAGAATATATGCTTATTCTCTAACCCACATGGTTACTATGAAGATGGCTGAGCTCAAACAATTTTCAGGGTTCCCTATTTGAGAGATTGACCTGCAAAAGCAAGGGGAAGCCAAATTTAAGAGCTATGAAGGTATATTGCTAGGTTCAGGCAAATTGCTGAAAGCTGTTGGAATAAATAAATCAGAGAGCATGTTTCCCTTGTTTAGTAACTGGGGGTGGGGGTGACAGTCACTACAAAGCCTCTAAAGAGCCTATACTTGTATCAGAAAGCTTGGACACCTGCCTCATAAACACTCTCAACTGCCAAAAAACTTCAGACATCCATGTATTCTACCAAAGCTTTAAGATATAAGTAACAACAGTATTTATTTTCTTTCTGAGAACTTGTGAAAGAAAAAGTGACATACATCTCATCCTATGTGGCCAACATAATGATGTCAAAACTTGAAAAGGGATTGGATCAAGATGGCAGAGTAGAAGGGTTAGAGCTCACCTCTCCCCCGAAACAACTCAAAAATTTACCTACATGTGGAACAAGTCTCATGGAACTGGAAACTGACCAAAGTAGTCCTATACAGCAAAGGTATGAGAAAGATTTCCATGTAACTAGGTAGGATGGAAAAAAGTCAAGGGTTAGGACTTCCACCTTGGGATCTGAAATAATGAAAAGGTCTGCATGCATAGACACATCCCTTGGGGAGTAAGCAGGTCAAGCCACAGACTGGAGATCCCAGTCTTGGAGCCCTACATAAAGGAAACAAGCCCTCTTGGCTGCAAGGAGACTGGCTGCCAAAACTAAATCAAGAAGATACATAATTTGAACAGATTGATCGCCAGAAGTCAAGTAGAATCTGTAGTAATAATAATAAAACAACTCCCTGCAGAAGAAGTCCAGGACTGGATGACTTTAATAGGGAATTCCAGCAAAATTACAAAGAAGAACTTGTTCCTATCCTTCTCAAACTGTTCTAAAAAATTGAAGAGGAGGGGAGCTCCCAAACTCATTCTATGAAGCCACCAGCACCCCAATACCAAAACCAGCCAAAAACACTATGAAACTAGAAAATCATAGGCCAACTCTTTGATGAATATAGGTGCAAAAATCATCAACAAACTGTTAGCATACCTAATCCAACAATACATAAAAAGGATCAAGCACCATGATCAAGTTGAATTCATTCCAGAGTCATAGGATGGTTCAATGTATACAACTCAATCTGTACAATACACCACATTCACAAAAGGAAAGACAAAACCCACATGATCATCTCTATACAGAAAAAGCATTTGACAAAATTCAATATTCATCTATGATAAAAACTCTCAAAGTGGGTATAGAGGGAATATATGTCAATGACATAAAGCCCATTTATGACAAACCCATAGCCAGCATAATACTTAATGGTGAAAAGCTAAAAGCCTTCCCGTTAAATTCAGGAAGAAGACAAGGTTACCCACTCTCATCACTTCTGTTCAACATAGTATTGGAAGTCCTAGCCATGGCAATCAGATGAGAAAGAAAAGGTATCCAGACTGAAAGGGGAGAGTTAAAACTGTCACTGTTTGCACCTGATATGATACTCTTATATAAAGTATACACCCCAAAACTATTAGAACAAATGTATTCAGCTGGGTCACAGGATACAAGATTAATATACAGAAATTTGTTGCATTTGTATACACTAATAATGAAATATCAGAGAAAGTTTTAAAAAATCCCATTTAAAATTGCATCAAAAAATAAAATACCTAAGGACTAAACATAACCAAAGAGGTAAAATACCTAGATGCTGAAAGTATAAATACATTGAGAGAGAAAATTGAAGATGATTCAGAGAAACAGAAAGATATTCTATGCTCTTGGATTGGAAGAATAAATATTTTTTAAATGATCATACTGCCTAGAACAGTCTACAGATTTAATGCAATCCATATCAAAATATCTATGATATTCTTCAAAGAACTAAGATAAATAATCCTAAGATTTATATGGAACAGAAGAGACCCATAATTGCCAAAGCAATTCTGAGGGGAGGAAAAAAAACAAAGCATAATGCTTCTGGTTTCTATACTATACTACAAAGCTACTGTGATCAACACAGTGTGGTATTAACTCAAAAACAGACATACAGAACAATGGAACACAATAGAGAGCCCAGAAATAAACCCATGCACTTGTGGTCAATTAATCTGACAAAGGAGGCAAGAATATACAAGAGAAAAAAGTTTCTTCAATAAGTGGTGTTGGGAAAGCTCAACAGCTGCATGTAAAACAATGAAATAGAACATTCCTTCCCACCACATACAAGAATAAACTTAACAAGTTTAAAATACCTAAATGTTAGTTTATGACACCATTAAATTCCTAGAAGTGAACATAGGCAAAACTTTCTTTGACATAAATTGTAGCAATGTTTTCTTTGTTTATTTTCCCAAGGCAAAAGCAATAAAAGCAAATGTAAAAGCTTTTGCATAACAAAGAGAACCAATGAAAGACAGCCTATGGAATGGGAGAAAATATTTGCATACTATGCCTCTGACAGAGGGTTAATATCCAAAATATACAAACAGCTCATAAACTAAAAAAAAAAAAAAGAATCCAATTTATAAAAATGGGAAGAAAATCTAAAAAGACATTTTTCCAAAGAAGACATACAGATAGCTAACAGGCATATGAAAAAATGCTCAACACTGTTGATCGTTAGAGAAATGCAAATCAAAATCACAATGAGGTAGCACCTCATTCTAGTCAGAATGCCTTTCATCAAAAAATCCACAAACTGATATTGGAGGGGATGTGGAGAAAAGAGAATTT